AGGAGCTCCATGAGTTCCCCATGAACCGCTGGTCGTGGTGGTGATAAGCTGATGGTGGAGGGAACCTACAGGACAGAGGTTTATCTTGACTGGTTTAACATAATGTCAGGTTGGCTGTTGCAGTAGCTAGAAGCAGCTTCAGGAGCTAGTGTGGGTTTTATTGAGAACCGCTGCCGTTAAAGCTTCGCAGCACATAAACACACATTAGGATCTACTCAGAACCCACATAGAACCCACTGACCTCCAGTGAACACATACAGAAGCTATAAAAGGGTTCACTTCAGCAACATGTTAATTTTAAAGCAGTAATTTATTCAGTAGCCTATCATTTATGTTCAGCTTTGGGTCAGACATATTTTCCATGTTGCTTCTGACTGATCCTCTGTTTTCCTTCTTCTTTCTAATTACTGTTTTTCGCAGGTGTCTCACTGCATCTCTGATTACACCTCTGTGCTCTGACACGGTGCTGCATGTTCTGCTGTGTTTTCAGGCTACGGCCACACCGTTCCCCTCTCAGATGGAGGGAAGGCCTTCTGCATCTTCTACACCCTCTTTGGCATCCCCGTCACCCTCTTCTTCCTCTCTGCTGTGGTGCAGAGGCTCATGGTGCTGGTGTCTCGCCGCCCCGTGTCCTATTTCCACCGGCGATGGGCTGTGGACAAGTCAAAGCTGGCCGCCATCCACGCCACCTGCCTCGCCGTCCTCGTGGCCCTGCTGCTCCTCATCGTCCCCGCGTGGATCTTTGCCGACCTGGAGTCAGACTGGAACTTCCTGGAGTCTCTGTACTTCTGTTTCATCTCTCTGACGACCATTGGCCTCGGGGATTACGTCCCTGGAGAAACTCATAGTAAAGAGAGGAACCCACACCCACAGCTGTACAGGCTGGCCATCACAGGTGAGCAGCTGGATGAAATTTAAAGACCCTTTTTTTGTTTTTTTTTACCTTGTTAGTGTGTTCATCTTGTGGTTCTTATACGTTGGAAGACCTATCATGAGCAAAAATATCCCGTCATCATCATGATATTTTTAATTTTCACAAACTCAAGAAACCAGTTCTGTTTGCTTTTGGGACATCGTAGCATCACTCTTCAGAGTCAATCAGATGTGCATGGTTGAATTATTCCAATGCTACAACTGGCCATTGTGTAGCTTAGAGTAGAGTTGAAGGTGAGCTGGTGTGCTCGAGCTTCAGCAGCAGGGAGCGTTGGGTAAAGATGACGACCAAACTTCATAAATCCACACATTCTAGAGGAAACAGTGGTTTAGAATTACATCCACGCCATTTTAAGGCAAGAAGGGATTATTTTTTACTCTTAAAACTTCTAATAATGCACCTTTGATACACAGAAATTAGTTTTTAGGGGTTAAATCAGTGGCCAGAGAGGACTTTAGGCGACATATTCACAGTAAAAGTACCAACATGTGGGTATAATCCTCATAAGCTTTTTGTGTTAGCATGCTAACAGAAAAACCTTTTATAGTTTTGCAGGTATTAAGTCATAAACCAAAGCATGGGGACTCTACGTTGCATTTTTGTTTGCAGAGCTGCTTATTTGCACGTCCAGCAGTTCTAGTGGAAGCTGGCCAGATGGTGAATGCAGGTCCACCATCCACTCCCTTCCAGCTCCGTTATCAACAACTGAAAAAAAAATACCTGCGTCATCGGCTGCTGAGCGCTCTGCCGTGTTTACCAGCTGTTTGTGAACTGGTGTCTGTTGTTTGATGGGTCTTAGAGCCGAAAACGCCTTCCCGCCGTGTCCGAGAATGAGCGAAAACATCTGTTTTCACTGAGGGTCGGACAGTTAAACACCGAGCTGACACGTCCGATCAGTCTCATTAATCCAAGCGGAGCTGCAGATTCAGGTGTAATTCTCTGCAGGTTCGTCATTATGAGCAACTTCACGCTGACGTTTGATAGATTGTCGATATAAAAATACAGATTAAAGCCACTTTAGAGGAGTTTAAAGCTGGGAACCTCTGCCCCAGAGGACCATATCATCCCTTAACTGGATTTAAAATACAAAACTCACAAAAGTAGGTTTTCATTTTCACCATGTGCGGTTCTGGCTTCTCCGACTGAGAAGGCTAAACAAACTGCTACCTGCTACACCCTTTTATTCAAAGACCAAACCTTGGTTTAATCTTATTAGTCACACAGTACTGGTCTTTACTTCCTCGTGCTCTCCTGTGTTTGCTCTGCCAGCCTACTTGCTGCTGGGTTTGATCTGCATCCTGGTGCTGATGGAGACGTGCTGCGAGCTCCCCCAGATGAGACGCTTCAGGCAGAGGTTCTACCAGGAAAGGGTTCGGGAGCTGGACTCTGAGACCACCAACATCATCGACCGGGATCACCTGAGCGACCAGCTGAGCGACCCTGCAGACGACACGATGGACCACCTGCCAACCATCCCTTCTGTGTCTGAACAGGCCGCGTCCATACGGCAGAACGGCAAGTCGCCGCCTTACACCCCAGCGTCTGTGGAAAAGCTGAGATGACAGATTGTTTGGGCTTCCAGGAGGAGTGTGGTTGTTTTAAGGGACCGGTCTATGAACCTTTGCAGGATGCATGGCTGCTCAGGACAGCTTTGACCTTAAGGTGCCTATATGGGAGCATAAACAGCCTGAGTGCTCCGGCGTGTATCTGCATCTCAGCTGAGAAAGCTGCGTAAAGAGTGATCGCTCTCTACCGCTGCCAACACCAACATTGCATTTGTGATTTTAAAGCAGGAACCACCCAGAGATTATCAGTGTGGCATTGTTTTCTCCCCTGTTGCTCGGTTCCCTGCAGATACAGATCTGACACAGAGGAAGGGCTGGGTCCCCCCCAAACGGAGGGAAACCTCGCAAGTTTCCACTTCCTGCCAAAGTCTTAATTCCTAAGCGGCACAGTTTGTTTCAGAGGATTTCACACTCGCTCTTAGCACATTATATAATCTATGGTGGTATTTGCATAGGAAATTTGCCTCCTCGGGAAGCAGCAGAGCCGTACAGTAGCAGGAGAGCCATCTGTTGGCCTACTGTACCTCATTTGCAAGGATTCCAAGAAGATCCATTGAAGGCAAAGAATAAACACTTTTTTCTTCCTTGTTGCTTATAGTTGGGGATTAGTCTTCAGCTCCTGCTGGCATGCGGAAATATTTTATTGCTGCAACAATACTGCAATGTGCGCTTTGTGCCACTAGATGGAAGCACTTTCACGTTACAGGTGGATTTAAATGAAGCTGTTACTGTGGGGTTTTATCTCTGAGTGATTCTGAAAAATGTAATCAAGCCACAAGAATATGTCATCGTCACGACTGGGAGCGAGGACGCGTGCTGTAAAAAGAAGCTGATTTGCAGTAATTCTGTCAAAGATGCCCCAATTTACAGCGGCGCAGTTAAAGATAACGGCTTTATGTCCACGAGTGTTTTTCGTTTTATACTTCAGCTTTAAAGTAGCTTCGAATCACAAGAATCAAAAAGGATATAACTTATTTTCTTTTCCAAAGATCATTGTCGTTTTGATGGTTTATGGGTTTTAATGAAAACTTTAAAATGGTGGTTTTTATGAGCTCCAGTTCTGGACAGAGTGTAAATAAATCATGCAACATTAAACATTAAATATATATAAGTGATTATGTTTTTACAAGTGACAAGTGAATCAAACATTTTATATAAACTTGGGTTATTTTATTTATACAGTAATATATTCACATCGTAATTCAAGACACATACATGCAGACTGATGTGCGCGCTCATTCAGGCATGCGTTCATATTCACACGTTCACACTCACACACACACTCAATCACACACACTCTGAAAATGTCCTTCAACCAGAGATGCGCTCTCCTTTGGGAGAAAGCCTTCGTCCTTCTGAAAAGTCCTTGAATCCGTGCGATCCGCAGGACTGTGCTGTGCGGCATGCGCTGACCCTCGACCTTCCCACAAATCGGTAAAACAGCCTCCAAACCTCCACAGATGTTCCCTTCCTCCCTCACTCATACATACATACAGTATGTCTGTGTGTGTGTGTGTTTATATGATGTGCGGCTGTTTGGAGCAGCGAGGCCAGAGAGGGCGCAGGCTGAGGATGACCAGGACGAAGAGCAGGAAGGCGATGATGGTCACTATGGAGACGTAGCCGGCGTGGGGCAGGGGAGGCGAGTCGGGGGCCTCGGCCGGGATCATGTTGGTCAGGTTCAGCATGTAGCCCAGCGTCCAGCCGGCGTCGCTGCCGTTTATCTAGAAACAGCACGAGAGGAAGGAAAGCTATCAACAGAACGTGCAATGAATCAACCTGAGCAGGCGGCTCGCTGTGAGCCAGCTTCCCTTCCTTTAAGTCAACGCCCATCTGCACTTCTACGCGTTTAAGGATGTTTTTTTATTCACACAACCTTCAAAAGCAGATTCCCTGTTCACTCATTTGAAGCTAAATTAGCACTTAATTCCATATAAACATTGAAGCCTTGATTTTGACGTGTTCATAACGTCAATAACTGAAATATTTGGACCCACTGGATGTGGATTAATTAATATAGGATGAACTTACAGGCGCTTTGATTTTTTTGCTCAAGAGAAATTTCAGTGGAGATTTTTTGTATTTTGTGCTGAAACAGTTCAAACTCATGTGACAGGAGAATTTATCCCACTGTGCCTGTTTTAAATGCACACATGGGCATTTTTTAATCATGTTGCATTCTCAGTTCTCATTATGCAGAATCAAAATCTTTCAGTTTCACTTCCATGCAAAATGAAAGTGGCATGACATAGGATGGAGATTTCTCACATGTTGCAAATGCTAATTTACAAAACAAATCATTTGCAGATTTGACAAAATGCTGCCTTTACAGCTACACTTGTTCTGACATGTCCGACTTATTTTCTCGCAACAACCAAACTAACCTCGAGCCGACATGTTTCAATCCATCCTGACCTCATCCAACCTTAACATAAAACCAGTAAAATTCATATAATCTGCAACACACGCCGACAATAACTCTTTCTCTCGGAGGCCACTTCGATGTGTCACAATATGAGAAGCACATGCATGAGCAATAAAACCAGTGACGGCTGAATTCCATGTAGCTGATTCATGTGCATATGGGGTGATGTAAGGGGTCTTGTTGGTTCGCTATCACACCGTCGCCGCCCACTGAGACGCTTAAACACACTCTTTTGCTTTTTCTAAAATGCTGTAAAGCAACACAAAAACAAATCCAGGAATATAACAACACAATAGCAACAGAAACAAGAGGCCCAATTAATTGTGGGAATAAAATCAGAACTCTTTAGTATATTTATTGAGCGTATTAAGTTATTTTGTGTAAATAAACCCATTTTTCTTTCAAATTAGGCTAAAAAATGAATATATTTATGATTTCTAAGTTGTTTAACACTTTGTTTTATTGTACTGTTAAATGCCAATTCATGAAATCCTTAATTTATGGATTAATAAGTCTTCATGTCTGTTTTGGACGTCACCTGTCATCATCCATCTGGGTTCATCTGTACCACCTGACCACTAAGGCGTCCAATCAGATTCACTGGACATTTTGGCGGATGCTTTGACTCGACACTTGTGTTTGCTGCTGCAGTTAACTTTTTTTCACAGTTCACTCTTTCAGTTTTGGCAGATTTTATCGCGCCGCTGTCCCAGTTAGCAGCCTCTGCGGTAGGCCGGTTGTCATAACAACGCTTTTATCTGATACTGCAGCATCAGTTTCACATTGTTTGCTGCTGGACTGCAATTATTAAAGGAGGATTCACGGTTATCTCCTCCGGCTATGACACCTGACCTGAAGGTAAGCAGCTTCTCCTTGTATTACTGCTGATGTTGTGGCTGCTTCTGCTTTTGTTCTCCAAATACTGTTGTTGACATCCTGGTTTTGTTCACGGCCTGTTGCTGATTGTAACAGAGACGGAGAGCCGGCCGGTTGATGGAACAGATGAGCTCCTCCTGTTGTCTGGCTGCAGTTTGACACCTACATAATGCCGTTCAGCTGTTATGGTCAAAGTAATGAGATTTAAGTAACCCACTTATGTGGCCTCAATTGGGTTTGGTCATATTTTTTTTCTTGCTCTGATGTGATTTGCGTCCTTGTGCGACTGCAGCTCAAGTCCCTCCAGCGCAGGCTGATATATTAGGTGTCTTGGTAATACATTGCTCTGTTGGCTTCATGGAAAAGGACAAGTAGGCACTTTCTTAATGTCTCTCAATATGGCGCCTCTAGAAAAAACATAATGATGTGGCTAAAAATAAAATTAACAACAACAGTTTGCATCAATCTTTTTAAGTTAGGATGACTTCTAATAGAATGATGTTCAACCGACAAGCTCCACTGCAGTCGGAGAAATAACTTTAATGACTGGTAGCACAATTTCTAAGTTGATTATTCATTATAATCAAGTTGTTCCAACCAGTATTCCCATGTTATTCACAGGAAAGTGGCACTATTTTTATTTTATTTTATTTTATTTTATTTTTATTTTTATTTTTATTTTATTTTATTTAATTTTATTTTATTTTATTTTGTATTTTTGTATTTTTATTTATTTATTTGTTTGTTTGTTTATTAACATGGGAGGAGCTGGTGTCAGGGGACCAGGGGACCGAGCGGACTGGGGGCTAACTCCCGATGATGCCCTCGATGGGGATAAATGGAACTGTGAAGCATCCGTTCATCGTCTGACACACTGCTAGTGTCCCAACAGACGTCAACGGGATGTAAGTAAGTACTGCAGAGGAATTAATTTAAATCCTGAACAAATTGGATGTTACCATGGCAACAACAAACCATCAGATGCTGAACTCATATCAGAAAAAAAGATAAGTTATTTTTAAAATTATTCTTTTTTTGAAGTGAGCCATGTAGGTTTTTTTTTTAAAAAGCTGACCTTTCGGAATGTGACAGATCATAAAAATGAAGTTCCAAGACTTGAGGAAGTGCAATCTACTTAATTATCATAATTACAAACTTTTTGGTCTTTAAGTTGGAAATCTTAAAAAGTTAAGTTGTGTTCAGTAGGTAGAGGAGAAGAGCCACATTTCTGACCTCGAGGTGAAGAAAACTTTTCATTAAGTTGCCTCAGTCAGAGTTTGGTTTTGAATCAGCGAACACAGAAATCTGAATTTAAATTACACACAAGATTAGTTTGATGCAGTCTAACGCATGAAAATAATGTTTGCAGCTGTTTATTAGTCCATAGTTTTTATCTTGTCACCCTGCATTTAATGAAGTGTTGGGAAAAGGTCCCATGAATTACCTTCTACAGTCTCAGCATAAAGGACGACCTGATGCTTCTTATGTTAGATCATAACAGAGGTGCACGATATTGAGAAACACATTACAACATTTTCTTTTTCTGCAAGATGAAACAATAGCCTGGAGGAATTTACACCAGATGATTTCGAAAGATCCCTTTCTAAAGAATGACTGGTTTGATTTTGTAGGGGAGTGCATCCAGCTTCTCCACATGGTGTAACACTGGCAAAGGTATCCACGGTGTGTGTGTTGCTTTGGATGGCATTCAGATCTGATGTAGAGCTTCGTGGTGCTGTTTTAAATCGGTTGTGTTGTGGCACGACGCTGCTGCCTGCTTTCGGTCATTCTTTCTGCAGCCTAAATATTTCTGATGTGGCAACAAACTCTGTGTCTTATGAATACAGTTTATTAAAAAAAAGCTGAGCGCATCTAAGAACCGTTAAATCCCAGTAAACTATGTCAGGCTGACTTCCTTTGCGCATTAGTCACAGAAAATGAGAACCGTAGGAGTTATATTTTTGTACAAGCAGGGAAAATAAAAAGTTGTAGCATGATGAGCTGGAGTTCCTTTACATGCACTTCCTCCAGTGTGGGTCTGTGCACATCAGCATGTTAACACAGAAGCTCTATACTGTGCAGCCCTGTTCTGTAGTAAAACCTCCTGCTCATTGGAAGCTAAAGGAATAAACTACTATGGGTCTGACTTGCATTCAGAACATGTGATCTTAGTCTTCAGTAAGTAGATTCAATATGATCAGCTTGCTTTTGTTAGAACGTGCTCTACATTAATTGCAGACCCTCCAGTTCCTTAGTTGCTCTTAAACAACTCCTGTGACCCTGATCGTAGTGTGTCCAGTCTGAGCTACATGTCATACGAGAAAAGGCTTCTCCAGTACGTTTGGTGGGCGACTACGCCAAATATGATCCTGACCAGCTGCTGTGCAGTAAAGCCAGTGAGTGTGCTCCTCATTTGACAGAAATCATTTTCCTGTTTATTTTTGATCATCTGATAAGAAAGAAAAACTACGTCTGTAGTCCTTGAGTAAATAAAACCTATTTATCTCGCTAAAATCTCTTTAAAATTCCTCTCAGCAGGACTCGGTGTATGTTATTAATTCAAGGCGAACCAGAAGTTCGTCTGCGAGCTCTTGTTCAGATAAGCAGAACTTGACAAGCTGTTTATTTTCTACATCGATTCTGTAGTTTTGATGGTTCTTGTGCTCCTTGCTGTTCATTTTTAAGCCGGGGGGTTTGTTCTCACAGCAGAATCCACTCCTACTTGGATTTTTGAGCCTTTTCTGTCAACTTTTAAGTGTTTTATCATTTCCTATAATTCATTCACACAAGTGTCTGCGACCACACTGCAGATATGGATATGTAGGAATTGTTATCACCTTGTCGGGTTGCAGTGAGATGATTTATTTGGGTTTTCTCACCTTCTAACACTGTTTAAAACACTTATTAAAAGTGAAACTGAGGGTACACTGGTAGTTAGGCTCTGACATACCCTACATCTCAGTGTAATCCTAAAATCCAGCTCCTGTTAAAATCGGTGAGCATCATCCAAAAGCACTCCGTTTTTTGTTTTTTTTTAGAAACGTCCTCTCCTGGAAGGTCTTCACGAGGGTTCAAGGACACACTTAAACTCGCGGGTTAATGGTCAGAGGGATATAAATCGTTAAATAGCCGGGCTCTGGGGTGTGTGCGAGACAGGAACAAAGTGGGCCGTGATCTACTGACCTTCTTGATGAATTTTATGCTCGAGTAGCTCTCCGAGGTGAAGTTGTATCCTTCAGTCAGCAGGGTGAGGATGTACGTGCCAGAGAAGCAGTACTCCGCCAGATAGTTTAATTTTACATTCGGATGCTGCAGCTTTATCTGTTGGAGCGGTTCAAACACAGTGATGTTATCAGTGTACAGTATAGGCAGGCTGGAGGACACAGATAAGACATAGGATGGGTGAACGTGGCAGAACATTTCTTATTTTTTTTGTGTGTGTGTGCATGTGGAACTAATTCATAAATATGCCTGACCTTTTCCCAAGGCGTAGCGCAGTAGCGTGTTAGCTTTTCCATCACACTCTCCAGAGGGATGGACGTATCAGTCAGATTTAGGAAGTTCATCACAAAGTAGTAAGCAGAGAAAGCCTGCGACGAGAAAGAAAGGAGAGGAACATGTCAGGCGGAAGGACATTAACTTATATCTTTAGCAAATGAAGTAATCGCTTTATAAATACTTTGTTCTCATTATTTGAGGCGTCTGGCTGCCGTCGCTGACTCAGACGTTGTTAGTGTTTGGTTTTGCACGTAGCCGCGAAGCCAGGTCATAAAATTAGTTTAGTCAAATTACAAACACTTGCAGTTGTATATACAGTC